CTTATAATATATTAACAAATCATAAATATCCTTTTCTCACAAAAGTCTATCCAAATTGTTCTGATGCCATGCAACCCAAATGGACCATGCCAATCGGGTCAAGTACATACCAATTATAGTTATGGACTTAGACACTAATCCAACTTTTCCTAGGGCGGATTTGGGTGCCCTTTACGGGCGGAGCTCGGCGTATACTGATGGAGGAGGCGCATAGATCGAGATTCTCGATCCATCCCGGGGCTACTAAGATGTATTTGGACCTGAAGAGTGATTACTGGTGGCCCTGTATGAAGATGTATGTTGCTTTGGGTAGTTGAGAGGTGCTTGACCTGCCGTCGGGTCAAAGCAGAGCACCAGCGTCCACATGGTCCATTGCAGCCTCTGGAGATTCCCCAATGGAAGTGGGAACATATCTATATGGACTTTATCACCAAGTTACCGAGGACTGCGCGTGGGGTTGACGCGATTTGGGTGATTGTGGACCGACTAACGAAGAGTGCTCACTTCCTTGCTATTAGTGAGAGCTCTTTTGCAGAGATATTGGCCGAGATCTATGTGAGAGAGGTGGTAGCACGACATGAAGTGTCGGTCTCGATAGTGTCAGATCGAGACGTGCGTTTCACTTCCAGGTTTTGGAAGAAATTTTCATGAGGAGTTGGGCACGCGCTTGCATTTTAGTACTGTGTACCACCCGCAGACGGACGGGCAGAGCGAGCGGACGATTCAGGCGCTTGAGGACATGCTGCGTGCCTGTGTCATGGACTTCGGAGGAAGTTGGGACACATACTTACCCCTGGCTGAGTTTTCCTACAACAACAGCCACCATTCGAGTATTGGTATGCCTCCCTTTGAGCTTTTATATGCGAGGAGGTGTTGGACTCCTATTTTTTGGGGAGAGGTGGGACACAGAGTGATGGGTGGCACTGAGATAGTGCTAAAGACGACCGAGCAGATTCAGGAGGTCAGACAGAGGCTACTGACGGCCTAGAGTCGCCAGAAGAGTTATGCGGACAGGTGGCGATCGGAGATAGAGTTTCAGGTCGGAGATTTTGTACTCCTAAAGGTATCCCCATGGAAAGTGGTGATCCGATTCAGAAAACAGGGCAAGCTGGGACCCCGATACATCGGTCCTTTCAAAGTGACCGCCAGAGTGGGTAGAGTAGCATACCAGTTGGAGCTACCTGCAGAGTTGAGCCAGATCCATAACACCTTCCACGTGTCGCAGTTGAGGAAGTGTGTAGCCGATGAGACGACAGTAGTACCACTAGAGGACATTCAGGTAGATGCGATCCTGAATTATATTGAGAGGCCGATCGCGATTTTGGATCGAAAGGTGAGGGTTCTGAGGAATAAGGAGGTGCCCCTGGTCCAGGTCCAGTGGCAGCATCATAGGGGGTCTGATTTGACTTGGGAGTCGGAGTCAGAAATGCGGGAGCAGCATCCAGAGTTATTTGTGGAGCCTGACTTCAAGGGCGAAGTCTGATTCTAGTGGGGGAGAATTGTAACATCCGGACTTTCAGGTATATTATTTACTTATTTATTTTTGAGGATTATTGAGCAACTCGACGAGTTGGTGCTACAACTCGTCGAGTAGGGTCGGGCGCGGCCACGTGGATTAATGACCTACTCGACGAGTCCGAGAGCCGACTCGCCGAGTAGGCACTGTGAGATGAAACCCTAAATCCCCGGGTTTGGGGCTTATATAAGGACACTTATAGCCTCCATTGCGGCTCCCCATCTGCTTATCTTCACTGAGAGAAACCCTAATCGCCCCCCTTGAGCTTTTGAGAAAGTGTTGAGCTAATATTGAGAACTTTAGTGCATTTTTGGAAGAGAAGAGGAGGATTTCAAGCAAGGAACGAGAAGAGGTTGATAGATCTGTTGCTAATCATCCAGAAGCTTCTGTTTAAGGTATAAAGTTCGTATCTTTCTCATTAGTTTGGGTAGATCTCATGTCACTAGAGTTTAGGGCTTCTTTTCCATCTTATTTGGGACCTTGAAGGTTTTGAGCACCTTTAGGGATGTGGACATCAGATCTGGACCTTGTGAGGTCCCTAGAGTCTAAAGTTCTCTGCTTTATTCAGCCATAATAGATCCTTGAATGAGAAACCCCAAATAAAGCATGATCTTGGCATTTCAAGCCCAAAGTGCCATGCATGAATGTAAAGATCGAAACTTTACGTGATAATAGAGTCTTAGGAACCTAGATCTAGGGTATGGAGTGGTAGATCTGCCTTAAAACGTGTGAATAAGAAATCAGATCGAAGAGACTCGCCGAGTCCATGAGCTGACTCGACGAGTCAGTTAGGGTTTGTCCCGATGAGCTGGACTTTGCGAGGACTCGTCGAGTTAGGGGTTAAGTCGACGAGTTGGGCCTTCACGAGACTTTTGAGGAACGAATGGACTCGACAAGTCACATGAGTGCACTCGGCGAGTCAGGTCAAACTTGGACTGTTGACTCGGGTTTGACTTCTGTTGACTTTTAGGGTTTGGTCAACATGAGTAGTGGGAACCATGGAAGGGTAAAATGGTCTTTTACCCATTCCAAGAGTTAGAGAGAAAGAGAAAACAACCTTTGGTGTAATTGAGTATAAGTAGAGTATTAATTAGAGATAATTATCTTATGTATTAGGCGGAGGCTAGTTCGAGATTCCCGAGTACATGACTTTTACTTGCTAGCTTACAAGGTGAGTCTTCTCACTATACTTACCATGAGTGGTATCTATGAGTGAACGGAGGGTCTTATGTGTTTACTTGAGTTATGCATCTTGTCTGTATGATATATGTATGTTATATTATATGTTACTGTGACCGGACTGGAGGGTCCAACGAGCCGTGAGACCGGAGGGTCCACACTGAGACCGGATTGGAGGGTCCAACGAGCCGTGAGACCGGAGGTCCACACTGAGACCGGACCGGAGGGTCCAACGAGCTATAGCCATGAGAGACTTATTATCTGTGTATGTCGTATTTTGGGGAACTCACTAAGCTTTGTGCTTACCGTGTTATGTGTTATGTGTTTCAGGTACTTCTCAGGATCACGGGAAGGCGCCGACATGATTGTACACACACACATCAGAGTTTGAGTTATGATTTACAGGATCCTGGAGTTTATATATACATATATATAATATATATATATATATATATATATATATATATATATATATATATATATATATATGCAGTTTTGATTATGGGGTTTGATGTTTTGACATTGTGACATTTGGGATTTTGTTACTGTGATAATTATTTTTTCAAATTGAAAAATTTAGTTCGAAAATTTACGTCGTTACAATTAATGATTAAGAGAAGTATTGATTTGTTATTATCGGGACCATTTTCCCTAACAATTTTTAGTCGATCGCTACTAAAGAGTTAGATGAGAGGAATAGTAAATTAAGACACAAGAAGTGCCTAAACATAAAAGAAATATATGAGTTGTTTAAACTTAGAGGAGACATGAGAAAATAAGAGTGAAGAGAAAACTATGGATACAAAAGGAAGATGAGCTTTTAGTTGAGTATAAAAAGAAATGAGTTAAAATATGTGTGAGTTAATTGATGAGAATATGATGTCATAAGAGGATTGATATCGTTTTTTTCTTCTTTTTTTTTTTATCTTTTTAAAGGATTTTTTTTCATATTTTTTCATATTGTTTTTTTAATGTCTTTACTACATATTTGAAGTTACTAATGTTTTTTTTATTTTTTTTTATATTTTTGAACTAAATATCGATTCAAGTTTTTAATGTTTAACAATTATACAAGTTTTAAATAATAAAAATATTAACCATCATAATATTTTTTGCGAAAGAGACCATCATAATATTTTTCGTTCATATTATTTTTGAATCATAATTATTTTGAATCATAATATTTTGGATTATATCATTTTTGAATCATATGATTTTAGATCAACAATATATTCAATTAAATAAAGTTTTTGTTCAAAAATAAATTTTGGATCGATATACATTTTGAATCATTTAATTTTGAATCATAAACTATATAATTAAGGATCATAAAATATTTGAATCAAAATAATTTTAGATCATAACAAATTAAGTATCATAAACATGTTGAATCAAGATGAAGACCGAAGACGTCAACCTTTGGTAAAAAGAAAACACTTAGGTTGCGTTTAGTCGTAGAAAAATGGACAGTTTTTTGGAAAAAATTTCCAAGAAAAATGAGAATTTTGAAAATACGTTTACTTCGTCTATTTTTCTAAATTTTTAACGGAAAACGTTTTCTAAAATTACAAGAAGTTGGAAAATTTTGAAAAACTGATAATTATTGTTTTCCATATTTTCTAATTTCAAAATTTTTCTAAAATATATAAACATACACCCACTTTCACCCCATCCACCTCTATCTACCCCCAACCCACTCCCACCCAGACCCCCATCCACCCACACACACCTACAAACACACACACACATCCACAAACACACACCACATCCCCCCCTCCACACACATACACCCACCCCCTCCATACACACACATCCCCACCCACACCCCCACAAATACACACACACCCACACCTACCCTACCCCCACCACCACACCCACAAACACACACACACACCCACCCAACCAACACCACTACAACAATCATCGACCTAACATCACCATCACCACTACCCTATCACCAACACCACCACCACCACCACCACCGCCGCCGCCATCACCACCACTGCCACAATTGCCGCCGTCACCACCACCGCATGTCATCCACGAAAAATAGAAAATAAAAACTGTTTTTTCGTAACTAATTACAACATTAGTTTATGATATTTTTTATTTTTAGTTTTGATATTTAATTTATATAACAATAAAAATAATAATTAAATAAATCAATGGTCAAATTCCCGGACCAAAATCAAAACAAAAGCAAACTATATTGTGATCCACGTTAAAAAAGGAAAAAAGAAAAATAGGGTTAAGAACGCAAGCTACAGGGACCATTCGTGTAATTTACTCTTATATATAACACCCTCACATCTTCATTCTCCCCATCCCTGTATCTCCTTCCACCTACACTCAAATGGCGGCACATTCCGACTCTCAAATGGACAAACTCACCTCCGATATATTCTCCATTCTCGAAAACAATTTCTTATTCGGTTACGACAATCCGTCGCAACAAATCAAATCCCCCACCGGAAAAATCAGAATTCTCTCCATTGATGGAGGTGGAGCCACCGACGGTATCTTAGCCGCCAAATCAATTCTCCATCTAGAATCCTCCCTCCGCCGTAAATCTGGAAACCCAGATGCCCACATTGCAGATTTCTTCGATGTTGTTGCAGGATCAGGAATCGGTGGTGTTCTAGCCGCTTTACTTTTCACTAAAGGAAAAAATGATCGGCCATTGTTCACCGCCGACGAAGCGCTTAAGTTTGTGACGGAGAATGGACGGAGACTTTGTCGGTCTTCTAAACAAGGTCTTCTCCGCCGAATTTTTCAGTCTCCGGTGAAGGTTTTTGACCGGACGTTTGGAGATTTGACGTTGAAAGATACTCTTAAAACGATTTTAATCCCGTGCTACGATCTTACCATGGGCGCATCGTTTGTGTTTTCTCGTGCTGATGCGGTGGAAATGGACGGATGTGATTTCAAGCTGAGTGACGTGTGTGCCGCCACAACCGCTGTTCGTGGACCTGCTAAAACATTTTCCGTCGACCGGAGAACGAAGATTGCAGCTGTCGGTGGTGAGGTTGCGATGAACAACCCGACGGCAGCGGCGATCACTCACGTCCTATATAACAAGCAGGAGTTTCCGTTTTGTAATGGCGTCAACGACCTGCTTGTTGTGTCACTGGGTAACGGAGAGCCGTTATCTGTTATGGCCGGCAACCGAACTCCGTCGCGAACGGCGCTGGTTAAGATCGTCGGTGAAGCAGTTTCCGACACGGTGAGCATTTTTGCATTAAATACTTTAATTGAAACATGAGCTATAAAGCCGTTTTACTATTCGTACAACTATTTAACCATAAAGTACGAACCTGCGAAAAAAGGCGTTTTGACTCTTTTCTTTTTGCTATAGTAAAAGTCAGAGATCTAACGTACAAATGATCAATGCATGAGAAAGGATATATTTGTCATTTTAACTCAATTTGGAATTTGGAAAAAAGGACAATAAATAAATAATAAAATCGTCGGGTACATGGCATTATGGCAATGTTAATGGTCCAAAGTATATAGTATCAACCCTATTTTTGGTAGGTGCAATTAAAGTGGTTGCAATAATTGTAATTATTATAATGGTCCATAAAATATTTTAAAAATAACTTATAAAAAATTTAAACCAAAATAGTCGGTTGTCGCATAACAAATTATATTTTTATGCTTTACCTTTATTTTTGTTTTAACTAAAAAAAGATAATTTAATAATGTATGTTCATTTGTCCTTATTTGGTCTTGTATTTTCTCGTATATGTCGTTATTGTATGAAATATTTCTCAAACATCATATACCCTTTTTCACATTAGATGTATATGCATTCTTATATGATTGTTGAAAATTAAAACCTTAAGTGTAATTTATATATGATATTTTTTAGGTTGATCAAGCGGTATCAATGGCATTTGGACAATCGCGAACAAGTGGTTACGTACGTATCCAAGCAAACAAAGGCTTATTGGATCTTGAACAACATAATAAGGATGTAAACATGTTGTTATTAGCAGATAAAATGTTAAAACAACAAAACGTGGAATCAATACTATTTCATGGAAAAAAATGTAACAGTACGAATTTAGAGAAGTTAGAGTTATTCGCAGGTGAAATCTTGAAGGAAAACGAGAGGCGGAAGACTGATGTTCTACCTTTAGTTTTACTAAACGAAACAACTACATCGTCTTCTGCAAGATCATCATCGGCCACAACACTGTCCACTATCTCATCAAGTTAATCAGATTGATATTGTTGTGTTTTGAATTTTCCGCCGACACTACTAATGAAACAGTGTATGTGCTGGGTTACATATCCAAATTATAGAGATTGTTTTCGTGATTGTGTTGTGTTTGATTTTTCATGTATAGTTACTTAATAGAAGTATTAACAAAGGTTTAAGGGAGGGCTTATCACAAGGGTTGATTTTTTCCCCCTTGTAGCATAATTTTATAGTGAAGTTTGTTATTGTGGTTTGGCTTGGAAAGGTGTGATCTTCTTTGTTTGGATCATTTGATATTTTCTATTGTAAATCTTGGTCCTGTAACAATGATGCGATTATAAGTTTTATTTATATGATATATGAAAGAGTAAAATGTTTGTTTATATAATATTTTCATCATTTTTTCTTATTATGCAACGAAGTTTTTTGGCACGTTTCATTCAAGGATCAAAATATGCAAGCATTTTACTTATAACTTGTTTTCACCGATTGAAATGTGGTTGCATAATCTTGTCTAATTTTGCAAAGAAGTGATACCTTGCTAAATAGGTAAAATATGAGTATTGCATAAATTTGTCAATGATAAAGGATTTTTGCATACATAAGTATTTAATTGTTCATTTAAAAAACCGTCACATAAACTAAAAAAGTTTAGGTGTAAAACTTTATCGGTTATTTGATTTGCCAGCCATAAAGTTATGTTTAAAAGATAGCAACACATGTTTATCTTTTCAACATCCTACCTTGAGAAATATTACAAAGATTATTGATGATAGTGATCTCAATCATTTGCTAAATGTTGTATGTGATGTGTCCAAATAATGTATGCTTGTATCTTGTAGATAAATCTACCTTAGGGATTGGATTGCCTGGTGGTGAAAATCGATCTAGTAAAAAGGAGTCATGTGGAAAATTTTGTAACACTCATCATATAAGTAGTTTTAAAATTAACTTCATAATATTAATAGTGTCCCAAACCATTCACGAGATTCAATCATCTCTAATTTAATAAAAACATACCTTAAATGATATGCGAGAATATTAGAAGGGTCAAAGTCGAAGTTTAACCATATTATCAACTAAATTATCTTTGGTCCTCCTCAAGTTAAAATTGTCAAAGTCTAAGTTTAACCAAATTATCAACTAACTTATCATACAGTCTCTTTCGTGATGATTAATCCTTACCTAGGACATAACATGGAAGTAGTACACTAGGAAAATATAAGCCCACTAAGTAATATAAACATTTTTAATTCACAATATTATATTAAGAACTTCAAACAGTTCACCAAGTGTTAAACATTACTCCATTTACTTTACTTTTCATGCATAATGGTCAATCCTTCAAAAATGTATGTCTAAATATTATTGGTATTGTGTAGAATGTCGGTATGTTATTAGACATAGATAGAAATTAAATACTTAATGAATTAAGTATTAGAAGAGAAAGATTAAAAGATATATTGTTGAGATAAAGAGAATAGATTGTTTATGGGACTAGTGTTATGTGATGAGTCACATAACAAAGATAAAGATGTAGAGATAGATGGTTCCTCTGGGGACATGACATAGAGGTTCCTACGGGGACAAAAGTATGATTCATTTGGGAATAATAGTATGGTTCATTCGGGGACAAGTGATAGAGATTCCTTCGAGAATAAAGAGTATGATTCCTTCAGGAATAAGAGTATGGTTCCTACGGGGACAAGAGTATGATGGCTTATGCTTCGCGGCACGAGACGAGATATCTCACACATGATCTGGAGTTGGGGGCTATGGTTTTTGCCCTCAAGATTTGGAGGCATTATCTTTATGGGTCCGTTGTACTATCTACACGGATCACAAGAGTTTGAGACATACACTACCAAAAAATTACATTTAATGGCACAAGTTTTTAGTGTCATATTTTGTTTTGTGCCACTAAAATATGTTTTTAGTGGCACATATTTATTTTGTGCCACTATAACTAAAATAAAAGTTATAATTTTTATATTCCCGCTACATATTAAAAGTTCTACCAACTTGAAAGTTCTAATTTTCGTATTCCCGTTGAGATTGGAAGTTCCGCCCCAACTAGGGTTTTGTATTGAATGTTAGAAAGACGCTGACACTCAAGACTAAACTAAACTCTCATTCTCTCAAAACCAGAAGAAGGAACAAGACCATATCAACACTCACCTTATGCAATCGACCATCGTCCATTGTCAACCCCATCCTCCTGTCGCTGATATCGTCCATCATCAACACTTCCGCCGCCCCAATCGTCAAAATTTTTTGGATAACATTACTATCACGATTTCTATCTCTCTGTCAAAATCATAGCCTTATGTGTTTGCTACCATCGTCAACCCTTCCGCCTTTGACCTCCATCTCCGGTAACCTATGTTTCTCAATCTCTCTTTCTCTCATTCAATTCAGATTCTAACTTCTAAGAATGCTTATTGACCAAAAAGTAATTTCCATCAAAATTAGATGATGGATTAGATGGTCTCGAGGTGGTAATGGATTAGATTTAGTTCGTCATTTGAATTTAATGAGCTTTATATCATATAACGTTATGTTGTTGACATTATCTTGTGGATTTACTCTATATTTTGGTCATTCCATCATATACATTTAAAATTTTATATATTGACCCCTTGTGTTCCATATAGGGCATAAGTCTGGCAGATTAAAATTGAATCTTCAATTCATATTGGACATGATTTTATAGCCATAGTTTACAAGATACATGACAAGATCGATGGATTGTAGTCACACATATGTAACTTGTTGGGTTAAGAAGAAAGTAACATGGTGTTTTAGATGCACTGGGAAAGGAACTAAAAGGAGGTTATGAATAATGTACTGACAACTGTCAGTAAAGGGCTTCTACCCTCGACTTATTTTCAATTCATTTTTCACCATCACTTTATTGGGTCATTTAGATCGAAATGTGAGAAAGAGGGTGAGAAATTTCTCTGTTAATCACATGATTCACATATCATCAATCATGTTTATATAATTATATTGACTAGTTTATTTTGGTTGACATTTTGGTAACCTGAATAATCTACTCCCTTAAATATATGACAATGGATTTATTTACCAAATGTCTAAATTACCCTTGAGTAATATACAAGAGATTTTATGATATGTTTGTTATGCAGGAGAAAACTTGGAAAAAGAACCTCAGATAATTGAATTAAGGAACCAGGTTAGATTTACAGGGAACTTAAAAGTTAAAACTCATAATTGGAAATCCAATTCCTCTGACAGATTTCATTCCAATTTCTTTTTGTTAACTTCATGTAGTGTTACAGTGCACATTAAGATAATCGTGGTGAGGTTACCCTTCTATTATACTTATTTAATTATATATACTTTCAAATGAAGACTTAAGATTTGTATTTACACATAATATTTGTACAGTGGTTGTAGATGGTAGTTTCCATATAAGCATGTGAGGGATAACCAAGAGAAACTATATATCGTGCATATGCTCAAGTAAGTTTAATCACGAATTTTATTTTCCTATTAATTCTTTATCTTTGCTTTCTAAAACAAGTTAATAAACAAAAAATCAAGCAGTAAGTATTGGTTAATTTTTTTTTATGAAATATAGGGTTGAGGGCATCGTGCATCCTTGGTTATAATTCCTTTTCCAATCCTTTATTTGATCAGGTAAATGTGTTTTTTTATGGTTTTGTTTCATGTTTATTGAAACTAAGAAAAATCGAAAAAAGAGGGTGGGCTTGAAAGATGAGTATTATAAACTATTGGTAATTATTTAAGTTTCTTCTTCTTTTTAGTTTTTTTATTTGTTAGTAAAATTCACATATCTCAAACAAAGATATAATTACAAAAAAAAAAAAAATTAACAAAATGACTAAATTCTATTTTTTTTTCTTATCAGTATGTTTCTTGAACCATATAACAATGTTTTAGCATTGTACTTTCAAAGCACAACACTATAATTAGAAAAAATTTAATAAAATGACTGCAATTTGCTTTTTTTTTTCTTATATCTTGAACTAGGTAACAATGTTACAACATTGTACTTTCAAAGTACAATGCTATAATTAGCAAAAAAAAGTTTAATAAAATGACTAAATTGTAGCTTTTTTATTTGTATGTTTCATCCTATTATTTTCTCTTAAAATTAGAATGTTAGGGTATTTTCTTTGTGGATTTGGTTAACTAGGGTATGTATAGTTGTAATATGGTGTGCCCAATGTAACAATTTCTCGCTCTATATGTATAATTTGTATGTTTTATTCTAATGCTTTTTCTTTAACTTTACCCAAATAGATACTAATAGCTTCATGAATTAGTTTTTTTTGTTAACATTTTTGTTTCCTTTTTCAGTTCCAGTTTTCAAAGGAAGTGAATAAGAAAAGGAGTAAGAAATAGAAGTCCATGGAGATGGAGCATGCTAATATGTAGTTCGAGGTCGATCAAATTTCGTGTTTCTTCCCCCAACAAATATTTAGTTCGATAGTATTATGTTTTGAGTACTAGCACAACATGTTTATTAAACTTTTTTTTGAAGATATTTGTGTTTTAAATATTGAGAATATTGTTGTTAGACAAGTTTCAATTGAAGTAATGATATTGGTTTTTCTATTAATTATCTTAATTGTCTTATTATTATTTTATATTCCATTTAAAACTAAAAGAATCAAATCTCATTTATTAATATATTTTTCCATGTAAAAAGTTTTACTAATTTCATGAAAAATAATAATTATTGTACCGGTTAAATAGTGGGATAAAAATAGTGTCACTAAAACCTATAAATTCTTTAGTGGCATAGTAGAAAAGTGTCCCTAAAACCCAATTAGGCTGCAGCGACACAACCAAAAAGTGCCACTAAAGGCCTTTAATGGCACTTTTTTTTGTGCCGCTGATTGCCTAGGGTGTCTTTAGTGGCACTTTTCGGTTTTTAGTGGTACTTTTTCTATGCCACTAAATGCCATTTTATTTGTAGTGATATTATGGATCAGCCGAACCTGAACATGAGGCAGCGCAGGTGGCTGGACGTAGTAAAAGATTATGACTGTGAGATCCTTTACCATCCAGGTAAAGCGAATGTGGTGGCGGATGCTTTGAACCGCAAGTCGGCTGGGTCTTCAGATGGGGCATCGTGTATGAGGATATCAGTGGATTCTCCACTTTTGGGATTGGTTTGGGAGGCTCAGGCCGAGGGTGTTCGGGAAGAGAACTGGAAGATAGAGAGGATCAGGGGTGAGATCGCCAGATTTGTTCCAGATAGTCATGGATTGTTGACTCATTGTGGTCAGGTATGGGGTTCCTATGTGTGGTGGGGTCAGATAGATTGTGTTGCAGGAGGTTCATAAGTCTTATTTTTCTATCCATCCGGGAGCCA